CGCCCGAAACTCTCGTTCCGGATTGAGACCATTCTGGAAGCGATCTGCCGATTCAGATCGACCATTTCGTATTTGCGCTGCAGATCGCCAGTCCGCTGAAACTGGCGTCTACGAACATTTCTGAGCCGAATCAAGAGTGGCGGTCAACCACGCGCCGAAACTGGACCCAGTTGACTCGATGGTAGTCCTTCCGCAGGCACGGTGCAGGGGCCACGTTGCAGCCCAGCTCGGTCAGCACCGGTTGGTGGTCCGAACTCAGGTCGTTGACGGCAACCGGCTTGGCTAATCCGGTGTTTGCCAAGAACAGGTCCAGCGTCGATGGGTTGCCCGCCGGTGATGTGAGGTTGGTTCGTCCGGAAACCAGACGGAATAGAGACCATGCTGGGAATGGTCGAATAGTAGGCGGCCGTTCTGCTTCTGCTGGTAGTTCCACCAGGCCTCGTGCCGGGCGTTCAGGTCCCCTCCGATTACGAAGCGGGCATTGGTGCGGGTTATGATGGCAAGGTCGTTCTTGAACTGCTGTGCTGTACCATTGCTAACGGTACATTGGCGGGGGCAGTAGACGGCGATGAACCGGACGTTTCCGGTCGATGTTTCCACCTCAACGCCGACGGCCTCGATGATGGAAGTGCGGTAGTGGGGTAGGGTGCAGTACTTGATGCCTTTCTTGATGATGACCGCGACACCGCCCCCCCTGGAGCTGGTGCGATCAAGCCGGACAATGCTGTGGTCGGGTAGCCAGAAGCTGTCACTGGTCTTGAGGTGGGTCTCGGTGAGAAGGCCCACGTTGATGTCGTGCTTGCGGAGGAAGTCTGCAAGCTCAATGTTTTTCGCCCCTACGGAGCGAGCGTTCCAGTTGGCGATCTTTATGGCTTCACGGTCCATAATTAGCGACGAAGGAGATGATAGCTTGGAGCTGTTGTGTTCTTGTAGCGCAGGTGTGCTTGATGATGATGGCCTGGGCCAACAGTGTGACGATCTCATCCGTTGACAGCGGAGAATCGTCTGAAGCTTTGCCGGTTGTACCGGCCAATCCCGGAGCAGGGGGATCCGTCGATGGCCCGGAGGCTTGACCGGGTACTGCAGCGGCAGCCGACTGGGCAGCAGCCAACTGTTGGTTGAGCGGGAGCGGCGGCAACACTGGAATTGGCCGTGGTTGGACCGGTGATAACGGAGGAAAGTTCTGGGCGTTGTTTTCTGGAACCTTCTTGCGACCGGGCTGGTTGTTGGACGAGGCCTTTTTCCGGATTTCGGCGTATTCGGCCCGCTTCGGACAGGCCTTACTCGTGGCCTTGTGGGCGGCACCGCAGTTGGCGCATGTGGGAGCGGCTTCCTCGATGCTGTCGCAGTCGTCGATCTTGTGGTTGTTGCCGCATTTGATGCAGCGGCTGGCCATGCGGCAGTTCCTGGTGCCATGTCCGAACAATAGGCAGTTCGAGCACTGAGTGACGCCACGGTGGGTCGGCTTATACCGCTCCCACTTCACTACGATGTGGAACAGTGTGCGTGTCGTCTGGAGATCCTTCACGGTTGTGGAGTTCTTCTCCAGATGGACCAGGTAGAGCTGGTCACGATACTTGATGGCCTTGCTGCGGGTCATCTTGTGGATTTCGATCGGCTTGAGCTTCATCCTGTCCAAGAGAGCCTGGACTACGTTGTAGTGTTTTTCGGCCCGGACCATCAGTTTGTAGCCTTCCGTGCACCGTTGAATGGTGCAACGAAGGCCCTCTTTAATGTAGTAATCCAGCTGCTCCCATAGCCCGGGAGGGAAGCCCTTCACATAGAAAGGTGGCAGCTTCACTTTTTTCGGCACCGTCTCAGGGTCCGACTGCGGCTGGGCTCCGTTCTGCAGGGCGGAGAACGGATTGTTGCTCAGCAGCTTTTTTGTTGCCGATGTGGTGGCGCTGCTGTCTTCAGGTCTGTGTCGTTTAGTTCCGGGAGGCCCCGGCTGCGGGTCCGCAACGCCCGTCGGGACGGGCAATGGGGTTTTCTTCTGCTTCTTCTGGGCTGGTTCGGTGGTAGCGCCGTCTCCTGGGAGAGGCTGTTTTCCCGGTAATCCGGCACTCGCGTTACCGCGCGATTTCTTACCCATGGCTGGGTCAGCGAGAGCGTCACTACACAACGCGGAGCTAATGATTTGCGAATGAACGAACGAACGAAACGAGAGAGAATAAAGGTCGACTGAACTGCTCAACAGTCTGGCAGCGAATGATGATAAAGGAAGCGATTTGGCATACTTTTTTGTAGAAAAAAAAATCAGCTGCTCTATCTCTTCCACTATTCCAATCAGTTTTCACCGAGCTCCGATCAGATCGACCATCTTGCCAGAAAGCGTCCATCCGTCCGCTCATCTGATTAGTTCGTGAAATATTCCTATTTTGTTTGTTAAATTTCTCAATTGTTTAACTATTTTCACTATTTGTACGATATTTTTTCTTTCGATATTTCCGAGAATCGATTTTATATTCTGTTTTGGAATCGCGTAGGGAACATCGATTTTTTTTTTTCAAAACGCCTATTCCTAGTGCAACGTTCAATGATTGTGCTGTTTCGGCTTGTGTCGTTAGGTATCAACTTTCTGATGGCTGTGTTAGGGGTGAGCACCTTGCGGTCAAAGAAAATTTATGGGAAATTGGAATATTTCCATATTTCTTCATTGTTAAATATTTAAATATTTAACAATTATAATGTGTGACATACCACACAAATCTTATAACGCTGGTGAATCGATCACCATTCAAATCATCAAAATTCATTGATTATTGGCCAAGTTAGTAGCATTAAAGTCTGACCAATTTTCTTCCCATTTCTCTGAACTGGCACCCTTCCCAAAAGACGTAGTCCTACACGCAGAAAAAATATTTTAAACGTTATAATATTTAACGTAAATTCAATAAGAATTTCATTTTGTTTTGGCTGCAAAAAGCAATCATTATTGTTTCAACAATCCAGTATTTTTGTTCCTCAAAACCCATGGATTGTTAAATCAAAAAGAAAATCTTTTCGAAGCTGTCAAATTTGGCAGCTGGGTTAACAACAAAAATACGTTTGTTTTTAAAAGAGATTTCTTGTTGATTAAATCATATTTATTTTATGAAGTCTGAAAATTCACGCAGTAGAAATAAAAATATGTTTATTGATTCAAAAATAATATGGCCATTTTTTTATGTTTTGTTTTGTTATTGTTTTTTTTTTTCCTTCGGAAGGGAACTTAAGCCGTTGGTCCCCGGCTCATTAGTTGATGGGTCAATATGTAGGGTCCAGGAGTGGGAGCTGCCTTCATGGCGTCGGGAGCATTGGTACTCAGTACAAAAAACAAGATCGACGAAAAAATCAAGGAAAAAACAGAATAATTTATTATATTTAGCAACTACAACTCGAACTGTTGAATACTTACTTACCTCAAGTCTCAAGATTTTCGGAAATTTTGCACTTATTTCCCGAAATTCACAATTAAAAACAATACTTACGTGGAACGCGGAAAAGAGCTGAATCAAACGAGAAAAGTTTTGTTATTGTTTACATTTTTGTCTGGGTGAAAACGAGGGAATGGTTGGTAGTTATTTAGGCATTCATGGCCCGGGGAATGGACACAGCAAATAAATGCTAAATAAAATTAACTATTGTTGGCTTAATAACAGAATATTGTTATGTTTACAATAGTTGCAGTTGAAAAGTGGCTTATTAAAACAAAAATAATCCTTTTTTGAATTTATATGGATAAGTATGATTGAAACAAATGCTGATCGGTCTAGATGCTGAGCATCCCGCTCTCGTCGTGTCATTCAGATTACCTACTCCGATATCAAATAGACCAATCTACACTGATCGATTCTCTTCATGAACTCTCTCTTGCGTAAATAACTCGGCTAAAACAATTTTTCCATCGATTTGTGCATCGAAAATATCCGGAAATATCTTTAGAAGGTCGTGGCGATCCAAAGAGAAATCTAGAGAGAAAGGAGTCGATTAGGAGAATCCCTATCTACATTGATCGATTATCTTCATCGGCCTTCTCTGTGGATCGCCTATTGAAAAGTGTCGCGAGAATTATATATTATAAACGCCTAATATGTGAAGGTGGTAAACGGAGTAAGCCGTTAGGTAAACAGACAGAAAAATCGATGAACGTCGATTCAATTTTGAGTTACTCGCGAGTTATTCGCTGCAGAAAATCAACTCAGAGTAAAGAGTGTCTCACCCCTTCGTATAGCATGAAAATGTTTTGATTGACACGAGGATTGACATCTGAAAAACCATCACAATGAGCGAATGACATGCGGTACATGGGATGAGGTTGCGTCCCAACCAGTGAATGATGTCTGTACTAATTTAAATGCCATTGATATCCCTTTTGTAGAAATTGAAATTTTTATGAACCTCCAAAATACGAACTAAGCATAAAGTGGCACAGGTAGAACTTTAAAAAGTGATCCGCTATCAGCCCAATCGCACTTAATACAGGCTGCAGTGAAAACGGGGTATTTCACCAACTGGTTTTATAAGTAAATATCAGTCATGTTTGGTCAAACTTTTAAAAAAAATATCGCAGACTTTCAATAAAATCACCTGGCATCCCTGGTGAGTAGGTAATTTCTGTTCGCTATTATCTTGCAAAGTAGGTGTGTGCTTTTAGTGATTTTGCTCCAAAATGCATGGAATATTGAATTACTTAAGGCCCAAACGCAATGTGGACGGAAGCGGAACGGAAACGGAAAGTTTGACAGTTGTCACAAATGACATCAAGATGCCTAACCGAAGTCGATTTGGTTTCAACCTGTTTCAACAAGTTTTCAATCCGACAAGTTGGCTTACTCAGATCGGGCTTTTCCGCTGCCGTTGCCGTTCCGCTTCCGCTGTCATTGCGCTTGGGCCTTTAGATTCATTTCCAAAAACTAAATTCAAAAATCAATTAATTTTATTGAACGCAATACACATCTGGGCATACATATGTTTTCTACTGCGTTTCACTCGAATCAATTATAAATAACCTCCCAAATTTACTGGATTACCGCATTAAAACGGACACAGCCCAGTTTGACGCCACGGTCGCCAGTCAGATCAACCTCCACCTCGACCGGGATGCCACGAGTCGGAACTATCAGGGACTTTTCACTCAAAACATAGCTGAATGGGACTCTGGCAACAACGGGACCTCCACCGACAATTCCACCAGTGTTGTAAATTGGGACTGGGTAAGCAGGCCCTACACTGGCAATACGGGCCACAACGCTAGCGGTAGCAAAGCTGCTTCCATACGGGCAGACGATTCCACTGGCCACGGCATACAGCGGCTGTCCGGAAACCAGGGTGCATACGCGTCCAGCGCAGTTGTTCACGGTGAGGCTGGTTGGCGTTGGAGCTCCGTTCGTACCTGAAGGATAATCAAAGCAATCATTGCTAAGCCACCATGGAAACGACTAACAGATAACTTACAGGCACTGAAGCTGACGGAAGCCATGGCCATGGCTGGTACCAGAGCGGCAACGATGAAGAACTTGAACATTTTGGTTTAGTACTTGGATCTGACTTATACGAGTCGTTAACTTCTAATAATTCGGTTCGCTTGCGCGGTCGCTTTTATATCCACGCCCGCGAAACTCCACAGACAACATATTCTGCAGCAGCATGCAGCGGTTAGTTTATCGCCATAACATAAACATAATAAAGAAACTTTAAATCACTTGACACGTTTTGGAATCTTGCGAAATAATTGAAAACATGTGTGCTGGTATGCGTGCAAAAATCTTCCCCGATCTTGCATAGCGAGCGGAAATGTCTGGGATTGTTGGTAAACAAATTTCAATAGTAGTTCAGCCGTATCTCTTCAACTCTAGGATGTAAACACAGTTTAGCGAAAATATTTCCGTGCCCCTTAATCAGCTTATCAAATTTCACTTTAATATCTAGTGATTCTCGGTCTGTTATCTTAGTTCAAAACTAGCGGTAAACCTGAGAGAAGAGTCAGTGTGGAGCTCAACTCGAGCTCGGTGGTAAACAAGTGGCCGTTATACATGTTGCTCACTAAGATCAAATAATGTCCTCGTTATGACTCTTTAAATGAGCCATATTGAACGGAATATTTTAGAAAAATTAAATTTGACATAAGGAAAATTTTCAAATAACTTAGACTTAGTTCCTTCTCGAAAATTAACCGATCAACAACAGAGCGATTTTCGAAAATCTTAATTTATTTCCGAACTGTCAAATTTAAGTGGAATTCAAATGGAATTTCCAAGAGATTTATGGAAATTCCCAGAAGTTTATGGAAGTTCCCAGAATTTGATGGGAGTTCCCAGAAATTTAATTAAGTTCCCAGAACTTTATGGAAGTTCCCAGAACTTTATGGAAGTTTCCAGTACTCTATGGAAGTTTTCAGAACTGTATGGAAGTTCCCAGAACTTTATGGAAGTTCTCAGAATTTTATGGAAGTTCTCAGAACTTTATGGAAGTTCTCAGAACTTTATGGAAGTTCTCAGAACTTTATGGAAGTTCTCAGAACTTTATGGAAGTTCTCAGAACTTTATGGAAGTTCTCAGAACTTTATGGAAGTTCTCAGAACTTTATGGAAGTTCTCAGAACTTTATGGAAGTTCTAAGAACTTTATGGAAGTTCTCAGAACTTTATGGAAGTTCTCAGAACTTTATGGAAGTTCTCAGAACTTTATGAAAGTTCTCAGAACTTTATGGAAGTTCTCAGAACTTTATGGAAGTTCTCAGAACTTTATGGAAGTTCTCAGAACTTTATGGAAGTTCTCAGAACTTTATGGAAGTTCTCAGAACTTTATGGAAGTTCTCAGAACTTTATGGAAGTTCTCAGAACTTTATGGAAGTTCTCAGAACTTTATGGAAGTTCTCAGAACTTTATGGAAGTTCTCAGAACTTTATGGAAGTTTTCAGAACTTTATGGAAGTTCTCAGAACTTTATGGAAGTTCTCAGAACTTTATGGAAGTTCTCAGAACTTTATGGAAGTCCTCAGAACTTTATGGAAGTTCTCAGAACTTTATGGAACTTCTCAGAACTTTATGGAAGTTCTCAGAACTTTATGGAAGTTCTCAGAACTTTATGGAAGTTCTCAGAACTTTATGGAAGTTCTCAGAACTTTATGGAAGTTCTCAGAACTTTATGGAAGTTCCCATAACTTTATGGAAGTTTCTAGAACTTTATGGAAGTTTCTAGAACTTTATGGAAGTTCTCTGAACTTTATGGAAGATCTCAGAACTTTATGGAAGTTCTCAGAACTTTATGGAAGTTCTCAAAACGTTATGAAAGTTCTCAGAACTTTATGGAATTTCTCAGAACTTTATGGAAGTTCTCAGAACTTTATGGAAGTTCTCAGATCTTTAAGGAAGTTCTCATAACTTTATGGAAGTTCTCAGAACTTTATGGAAGTTCTCAGAACTTTATGGAAGTTCTCAGAACTTTATGGAAGTTCTCAGAACTTTATGGAAGTTCTCAGAACTTTATGGAAGTTCTCAGAACTTTATGGAAGTTCTCAGAACTTTATGGAAGTTCTAAGAACTTTATGGAAGTTCTCAGAACTTTATGGAAATTCTCAGAAGTTTATGGAAGTTCCCAGAACTTTATGGAAGTTCTCAGAACTTTATGGAAGTTCTCAGAACTTTATGGAAATTCTCAGAACTTAATGGAAGTTTCTAGAACTTTATGGAAGTTTCTAGAACTTTATGGAAGTTTCCAGAATTTCATGCAAGTTCCCAGAATTTATGGAAGTTCTTTGAACTTTATGGAAGTTCTCAGAACTTTATGGAAGTTCCCAGAACTTTATGGAAGTTCCCAGCATTTTGTGGAAGTTCCCAGAATGTTGTGGAAGTTCCCAGAACTTTATGGAAGTTCCCGGAATTTTATGGAAGTTCCCGGAACTTTATGGAAGTTCCCAGAACTTTATGGAAGTTCTCAGAACTTTATGGAAGTTCCCAGAACTTTATGGAAGTTCTCAGAACTTTATAAAAGTTCTCAGAACTTTATGGAAGTTCTCAAAACTTTATGGAAGTTCTCAGAACTTTATGGAAGTTCTCAGAATTTTATGGAAGTTATCAGAACTTTACGGAAGTTCTCAGAACTTTATGGGAGATCTAAGAACTTTATGGAAGTTCTCAGAACTTTATGGAAGATCTCAGAACTTTATGGCAGTTCTCAGAACTTTATGGAAGTTCCAAGCATTTTGTGGAAGTTCCCAGAATTTTGTGGAAGTTCCCAGAACTTTATGGAAGTTCTCAGAATTTTATGGAAGTTCCCAGAACTTTATGGAAGTTCCCAGAACTTTATGGAAGATCTCAGAACTTTATGAAAGTTTCCAGAACTTTATTGAAGTTCCCAGAAATTTATGGAAGTTCCCAGTACTTTATGGAAGTTCTCAGAACTTTATGGAAGTTCCCAGAACTTTATGGAAGTTCCCAGAACTTTATGGAAGTTCCCAGAACTTTATGGAAGTTCCCAGAACTTTATGGAAGTTGCTCGGTTTAGAATCAAGACGTTTCCAACGGACATTCCCGAACATCTCGAAGATGATTCCCGAAATTACTTCCAAACGTTCCCGAAGGAGATTCCCAACGATTTCGACTAGTATTCCAGACGTTCTTGAATTGAATTCCAGACGTACTCAACTTAGCTTCGAGACGATCCCGACAGAGATTCAGACGCTCCATCATCCCAATGATGATTCTAGAAGTTCACGGCGGATAATCGAGACGATCTCACCTTGAAGTCCAGACATACTCTCCTGAAGATCAAGACATTTCAGATGGAGATACCAGATGATCCCAGACGTTCCCGACGAAGGTTGCTTCTAGACGCACCCGATCGAGATTCCAAACGTTTTCGACAGGAATTGCAGACGTTCTAGACAGTGATTCGAAAAGTTCCCCACTTGGATTAGAAACGTGCTCTATTTAGATTCAAGATATTCCAAAAAATTTTCTGACGTTCCCGGCGAAGATTCCAAATGACTCCAGAGGTTCCCGACGAAGTTTTCAGACGTTCCCGACGAAGATGCTTCTAGATGCATCCAATGGAGATTCCAAATGTTTTCGACAGGAATTCCTGAGATTGGAATCATTCCCTACATGGATTCAAGACGTTCTCGAAGATTTAAGACTTTACCGACTGGGATTCCAAACTTTCCCGACCTGAATTACAGACGTGCCCGATTTAGATTCATGACGTTCTCGACGGAGATTTCAGGCGTTCCCGATGGTGCTTCCAAACTGACATTTCCCAGCGATTTCGACGGGAATTTTAGAAGCTCCCGACTTGAGTGCCAGACGTGCTGAACTTAGATTGGAGACGCTCCCAACGGAGATGCTTCTAGATGTCCACGATTGAGATTCCAGAAGTTCCCGAAGATGATTCCAGACGTTTATGACAGAAATGTCAGACGGCCCTGAAGGTACTTCCAAACGATCCTTTTGTTTTGTTTTTTTGTTTTTATTACTTTATTTGTACAGGCTCAATCGAATAAACTTTACAGAGCCAAGTTATCATTTTCACTATACATTATTAATATCTTAAATCTAACAAACGATCCTGACGGAGATTCCAAACGATCTAAACGCGAGCTCTACACTCTAAGCTAGCTTCCCGATGGAAAATCCAGACGTTCCAACGGTGGTTCTAAATACACGGGATAGAATTCTGAACGTTTTCGATGGGAATTTCAGAAGATTATTCCAGACGTTCCCGGAGCAGATTCCAAACTTTCTCGACTTAGATTCGAGAAGTTCCCGAAGATGATTTCAGACGATCCCGAGTGGGATTCCAAATGTTTTCGACCTGAATTACAGACGTGCCGGATTTAGATTCTTAACGATCCCGACTGAGATTTCAGACGCTCCCGATGGTGTTTCCAAACTGACATTTCCAGACGATTTCGACGAGAATTCCAGACGTTCTCGACTTGGATGCCAGATGTGCTGGACTTAGATTCGAGAAGCTCCCAACACAAATGATTCCATTATTCACGACGGAGATTCCAGAAGTTCCAGAAGATTATTCCAGACGTTCACGATGGGGATTCCCGAAGGAGAATCCAGTCGTTTCCGAAGGTGGTTGCAATAGAATTCCAAACAATGTCCATGGGAATTTAAGACGTTCCAGACGAAGATTCAAAACGTTCCTTATTTGAGTTCCGGACGTATCTGATGAGGTTCGAAACGTTCCAGACGAAGATTCCAGATGCGTTCCCGGCGTGGATTCCATACGTTCTTGACTTAGATTTGAAACGTTTCCCGAAGATGATTTCAGACGTTACCGACGGAGTTTCCAAACTTTCCCGAAAGGGAATTCTATACGTTCCAGTCGGAGATTCGAATCTTTCTTGGCTTGGATTCCAGACTTGCCTGACATAATCGAGACGTTCTTGACGACCATCCAAGCAGTTCCCGAGATTGATTCCAGACTTTGATGATCCGAATGTACCAAATTTGCTTTTCAGATAGAGGCAGTGTGCAAGACAGTCAGGTTCAATGAGTCATTTTGATATGAATATGAACAGTCATCCGCCTCATGATTCACTGCCTCATGAGAGTCTGAATGATTGGGAAGCAAACGAGTCACTGACAGCAGAGCACTCAGTCAGCACGTTTATTCTTCGGTGATGGTACACAATGCTTGTTTTGAATGACTGAGCGTACATTTGCTATGGAAAAATGCCTCAATTACATGTTGTGTGTTGTATGAGCGAAGGCAAGCGGTGTGAGTCGCCCCTTCGTGAGTGGCTGCCTAAGCAGTCAATTATTTTACACTCTGGTAAGAGGATCGCAGCAACGGTCAAGCGAAAAAGCAAGCTGGTAAGTTTTTCTGAGAAACTTCTAATAGAAGCTATTTTTTGTTGGCGAAATCGATATCGTTGAAAGAGTTGGATCGAATGAGATGAACCAACGCAAGCAAGTATTTTGATATCCTCAACCAACACGTGTATTTTAGCCAGGCTACATGCAACCCGTCAGTGCATTAGCAAAGATAATCAATTTATTCTAAAAACATTGATGAGTATATCTTGGTTTGCGAACCACTTTACTCCGGTTATGCGAGCCTCACCTCTGCTTCTTATCTTCAAGTTCACTAGGTGGGAATTTTTTGATAACACATAGTGTGACAGCCAGGCCGTCACAATATCAGTTTCAAACGAAGAAATATACACATACCCAAATTTGAGTTCAGTTTACTCATAATTGCAAAAAATTCTGGAACTCAGAGATGAGTAATTTTGTTTTCCTGTTCTTTGACGACAATTTTACTCAAAGCCCAAACGCAATGTGGGCGGAAGCGGAACGGAAACGGAAAGTTTGACAGTTGTCACAAATGACATCAAGATGCCTAACCGAAGTTGAGTTGATTCTAACTAGTTTTCAAGCCAACAAGTAGGTTTACTCATATTGTGCTTTTCCGCTGCCATTCCGCTCCCGCTGTCATTGTGATTGGGCCTTCAGTCTTGAAATAGTACCAATAGCCTGAAAGAATCCAATCTCATATTTGGGAATTTTTCCCTAGAAAAACCTGAAAAACATGAGGCAAATTTACTGATCACTGATTTCCTGCACTTTTTGCGATTCATGAGTAAACTAAACTCAAATTTGAGCTGATTTCATTGGCCGTGTATGCGACGAAGAAACTGCTAGTTTTCTTTTCTTTTTCTGTTGAAGTCGATTAGCTTTGCATCATTCGAGCATCTGAATCGGCTTCATTCGTGTTTCTTTCAAGCTTCGGCACAGCGGACGACTTTGATTAGTCTTTCACGAGGCACATTATCTAAAAAAAATAACGAAAACGGGGCATAACGCATATTACATAAACTAAAAGAGTAGGTGACATAGTGTCCGTGAAAGGAATTGAAAGCCAAATCGTTTAAACTCGAAAATCGTCGTTACTTCCATTGAAGGGAAGTGAGCAAAGAAAGATGAGAAAAAACACAGCTTCGTTTTTTTTTTCGTTAGCCGTTGCTTGACTAGGCTGAAGCCCTGGCTGTTCCAAGGAAAGTAAAGCTCTAAACTTGCTGTCAATTTTCCTCCTACGTTCGATGGAAGTCTTGCACATGAAAAACCACACAGTTTTCTTAAATTTTAACTCGTTTATTAAACAATGGTAGCATCGAATTCCAGACAACCGATCAAGCTGTTGTCGTCGGCACGCAGACCGACCTCAACCTGCACGGTTACACCGGTCAGCGTCAGAGCCATGCCTCCGTGATTCAGGTTGTAGTCGAAGACCTGTCCGACCGAAATCGGGCAAGTTCCGGGTGCGGTTCCCATAGCGCAGGCATCCTCCAGACCATCTGGCATTGGGAAGGGAATCTGCAGACCGGCCAAGCGGATCACGATGTAGGCTTCCATTCCGTTGCTGGCAACCGGGCTGGTGATTCCAACGGCTAAGGCTTGGATGGGGGCACCATTCTGGATCGGGCAGGGCGACGTCGTGCATCCATTGATGTCAACCGACTGGGGCAGACCAGCTCCGTTGGCACCTGTGGATCAGTAGATGTTAACTGAGTTATACTAAAATGGCACGTCAAATATACATACACTGGCGAACTGGGGTCTGGGCCAGGATGGCTGGCACCAAAGCGACGATCAGGAGGAGTTTGAACATGTTGACTGTTGTGCTACCGTTATTGAGGCTGAAGCAAGACTAGGTTTTGATAAGCATTTGGTCCTACTTATATATAGAATTATGCTCTTGGGCTGCAAAATCGGCAAAATATCGATGAAAAATCGAGCTTATCTCCAGTTCGATAAGATAACCACTGCATAACAATGGTATTTACTAAGATTTGACGTGGTCACAGTAGGTGGTCGACCCGATCATCGTTAGCAGCTGAACTTTCATCGTTGAACACACATTTTGTTAATTTTCATGGCAATTCCCACCATAAAAGTGCCAAATGATCCTTTCCCACCCCCCTGTGCTCGACACTGTGCCGAGGATAATAAATGAACATATTACTCACGTGTGGCAAAATTCACTGAATAGCTAGAAATGTCTACAACTTACCCTGCAGCTTATCGGCGTTATTGTTCTTGCATAATTGCTTGATTATTTTCATTTTGTTCAGTTGAACAATCAAAACATTGATAGGCCACCGTTTGCTTGGTTACTGTATTTCCCAGATACAATAAAGACTCGATTACTCCTAGGAATTATCTAATCGGATTGACCATAGGACTGATTGCAGTTTTGAATTTTTTAAATGCGCGTTTCTTGTCACTATCGGTCCCGCTTCTAGTCTTGGTTAACCCAACTTCGTTCCAGGCGGTCGTTGCATCTTAGGACCAACTCAAGTCTTGGAATCCTAATTTTTCCAGCGGAGTACCCGGCGGACAATCGTTGCTCCGAACAAATGACTGCCTCACCATCGTACTTCCGAGTTGTCCATGTTGACATCCCTGCGTAGGTGGACACAGGTTATCTGATAACCGAACTTCCGGACAAAACCCCGTACCGGGAGCTGCGTAATAGCGAAGAAAAAGATAAACAACCGCGGACTATACGTTCAACGTGCGTATTTATATTTTCACTAGTCGACAGTGAGCGTTCATAAAAGGGCCTAATCAAGGGGGGGAGGTGACTGTCAAATACGAACACTCGTCGCCTACCTCGTATACAACTTATTCCAAACGACAACAACAAGGCATAAGCAACGATGGTTTGTTGATGTTTCGAACAAAATTCACACATGGAAAATCAATTAGCGTAAACAGGTGAGGCTCAGTAAATTTGTTGCCTCTTTTGATCTCCTGCAGATTTAATTGATGACGGAGTTAGATGTCACACTCCTTCAACCGTTTAAACAGTGGAAGAACGAAAGAGATGACAAATCACTGAGGCTTACATATTTACATCTCATTGATGGATGTCCAGTAAGCCGATTTGACAGCGCATCCCATCCCTGAGCTTGATTGCAATGATCGATTCTCTTCGATAATAACTCGCTTGGATTAACATTTCTCGGTGCGTTTGCTGCTGTTGCTTTTGATAGCCAGTTACAGCACCGTATTGGACACATTTCAGAACATTGCTTCCCTTAGCTGTAGCAATTTAAAGGGAAAATCGATGAAGAGAATCGATCATCGCAGTTAGGCCCTTATGCATGCTTACTGTCGATTTCATTTATAGCGGTAAGCTCCAACTCGGATTAACTTTTATTGCAGATTTCAGTGGAACGTCAAAACTCATGAACTGAGGCTGTGAACCATTTGCCGAGTTAAATTTAACTCGTGGTTAAAAGTGACATTTCGAAAGTTATTTTCTATGTTCGAAAATCCCTGTGCTGTCGCTTGACCGGTTTTCGAGCCACTGTTGTCAAAATTTAACTTCTTGTCTGTCAGAAATAACCATGCTCGGATAGCAGGGTTAATCGATAACTTTCCATCTGTCAAATTTTAACCAAAAGTTAAAATAATCCACCAAATGGTTCAGAGCCTGAGAGCAAAACTGTCGGGGAACGCCTAAAGATCTTGCAGCCAGTGTTACGATTTGAAATAATCTCGATATTTTAAAATAACTTTAAAAATTTGTTTTAATTGTCCAAAAAACTAGTTAGATATATTCTATTTTATCACAAAATGTTTATCTTAACATCGAACAATATATACGGGCAAACTTAACGAACATCTTTCTCGGGATGTTAAAAATATTGCAATTATTATTTCCAAACTTTTTCCGAAAATCCGGCATCACTCCTTATGAGCACAAAAGCTTATCAGTTCTGACAGCTTCAGATAAACAAACACGCAACCATCTCATTTTCATCGTGGAAAACAACCGGTACGGTGGTTTCTTTTAAATTGTGCACTAATTTTCGGTGTAATTATCGGTGTGTGTTCTATAAATTTGATTTCTTTTGCAGCTGTGCATTTCGGAATGTCCAACAGCAGCCTGCGGCAGCATGATGGTTCCACAAGTTCAAATAGTGGAAGTGAAAACAGTAACAACGACATTAATTACGAAGACATGGAGTATCTGGATGAAGATATCGAAGCCGGTCCATCAGCAAATGATTGCTCTGCTGGCGGAATGGAAGGATGTGAGCCTGAGAAAGAAATATTTATTTTCGATTTTCACATCGAGGCTCACGAACGCGAATTCCGGGCACAAAAGAAGGACAGGCCACTAGAGGTGCTTCATGTACAGGCGAACGATATAGACCAATTTGAAAAACAGTTATGGCTTACGTACAGCCCTATTCTGAAGCGTGAAATATTGTACCAGCGTGCCGAGGAAGGGTGTGAAGAGCGAGTGGAATGGAGTCCCATCACAAAACCGTCTTGGGAGGACAGGGATCGGTTCTTCCTGCTGCAGTACAGACGGAGCATCTTACGACTTTCAGATCTAAGTGATGACTTCTTGAAGTGTTTTAATGGACTTACGGTCAAAATGTCCGTCCTTGTTTACTCTACTTCGCTGACCAGTGCAAAGGATTACGACCGGGCAAAGCAGGTATTGGCGCTGGGGCAAACCGCCGGTGACTTAAAGGACAGATTTGGAGCGGATGCTAATCAAAGCCTGATGAAGCTGGTGTCCAAATTGAAAACAGTGAACCTGCATCGATTTGTGAAGCCTTTGGATGCCAGTTTCGTTTTGTGGGCGAACCAGATACAAAGCTCCCCTGCACATCTGAGAGATTCCCTAACAACTGGATCGCCACCGGATCATTTACAAAACCTGTTTATTGAAGTGGACGAAACCAGTACGCAGGCAGTACTTTCGGAATCAGTCGAGGATGCTACAATTTCAGAGACTGTGAATGAAAACTTCGGGATTGATATAGCGGAAATCGAGGAAGCTTTCGAAAAGGGTGAGACCAGTGTTAGTGAAATGCGGATTCAAAAATTGAGAAACTTAAAGCTTGCAGACGGAACAACAAGTCTTTAATTTCAGCCTTCAAGCGTTCGCTCAAAGTTTCCGAGGGGGAAGAATCAAGACAGTGCTGAGAAGGTCGTCGATTGTCCTGACATCGATCATATGTGATTTTTTTTTATAACATGTTTGTAAACCCCTGTTGAAACAGTAAATCGCTTGTTTTACTATTTTTAATAAATAAAACTCGGTTTTTAATGATTATTCGTGTTTATTGGCTTGTTTCAAACTTGGCTTCAAACCGTCCCCTGGATAGTAACCACATTTTTTAAAAAGCTTGATAGCATCAAAGCTTGTGAACTTCATTAGAATTTGGAGCACAAATACTTTAAGACTGTTATGATCCATGTTGTCGTAAAAGCGCTTGAAAATTTGTTTGATCAGACCAATAAAAATTTCGATCGGGTTCATGTGTGGACAGTAACCAGGAAGAAAAACGAATATTATTCCTAATGACCGGAAGTACCGTACCATATTAGGGTCAATGTGAATCCTCGCACCGTCGAGAATCCATATTGAATTTTTACCTGGATATTGATTCACCTGGCCGCTCAACGTAATATTTCTACATGCTTCAAAAAAAATATTTCTGGAAAAAGTCCCGTCAGTTGAAAATGCTTCCAGTAATCCTCCAACTCCCATGAAACAGAGTAGTGAAATCCGCGTTTGTCGAACATGGTTACCACGTTCAAGGATTATTTTACCAACTGGGCCATAGCCCATACTTCGACTTATGTCACGGTTGTCAAATGACACCTCATCCAAGAAGACAATGTTGAATGTGTCCCACTTCAAGGACTGAAGTTCTGAACAATAAAATTCGATTTTTGCGTTTTTGATCTGTATCGCGCGCTTCACAAGCACCTTTCGAGAAAATCCTTTTTTCTGCAATACGCGACAAATCGAAGACTTGCTAATATCCTTTGAAAAATGTTGTTGGAATCGGTGCTGAGCCTCGTCAAGGTAGAATGTTGGATCCGTGATATACAACTGACGCAACCATTCAACCATAGAGGTAACTCTAAGACCACTGGGTCCCGAAGAAAATCATTATTATTTTTGGCTCACTCAGTACCAGAACAACGGTCCCAAGCAGTCCCAAGCTATTTCACTCACCCCTGCATGTTCTGCATGAATCCACACACCCCTGATGTTATCTGTCAAACTTTCATAGCGAATCAAAACAAACATAGTGTAGTAATAGAATTTCAACTAGAATAGGGTACGTTAATCGTTTGCTTGGGACCAATAGGCTACTAAAGTGGTGAGCCAATTTAAAATCGTTAGTTTCGTATTGATTGTTGGTACTATCTTCGGTCCCAAGTTAATCGATTCAACATAGGAAAATCCACTAACCCCTCATTCTATCTGTCAAATTTTCATAGCGAATCAAAATAAACATTGTGTAGTACTAGAATTTTGACAAGAATAGGGTACGGTAATCGATTTTCTTGGGACCAATAGGCTAGTCAAGTAGTGAGCCAATTTAAAATCGTTAGTTTCGTATTGATTGTTGATAATACCATAGAGGTTACTCTAAGACCAGAAGGTCCCGAAGAAACGTGCTGAATTTTTTGGCTAAGCTCTGGTACAATCTTCGGTCCCAAGCTAATCGATGCACCCTTCGAAACATAGGAAAATCAACAAACCCCTCATTTTGTCTGTCAAACTTTCATAGCGAATCAAAACAAACATTGTGTAGTACTAGAATTTCGACTAGAATGGGGTACGTTCATCGATTTGCTTGGGACCAATAGGTAAGTCAAGTAGTGAGCCAATTTTAAATCGTTAGTTTCCACCGGTTGATAATACCGTCCCTGTTCGGATGATCTGCAAAATGTTTACTCAAAGTTATGTTGATTAACTCTGATGTCGACGTCAAACCAGCCGGACATTCTTGATCGGTTTCTTGATTTAATCCGAGGATAATACCGGCTGGAAAAAGGGAGAAAATGTCCATATTTTTCAGAATAAAAGGAGGACAATATTATGAATCAGCGGGGTAATGAAGGGGAGAGACACCTTTACTCTGAGTTTAAAGGGTGGAACGAGCAAAAAGTAGTCACACAAAATTAGGTGTACAAAAATAATGTTGATAAATTAATCATCTGTTTTATGTCATTCTGGCAGCTTACTCTCACATGAAGCTCTGATATTGTTGAGTTCACTCTATGCTTTACCAAATACAAATTCACGAACTTTGCGGTTGACCTCATTTATTAAGTGTTGCACAATCTTATTGTATAAATTAAGTAATTTACAATGTGCGCCGTTTTGGTTTGATATGTTTTCGTATTTTCAACTAATTCTGGACCCTTGTTGAGAATCTGTCGTGATGATTGTTCAATATTTTTCAAATGGCCGAAGTATAATCAATTTGACCGGTTCTATTTTCTGGCTACAACTGCAACGTTGTTGATAACATACAATTTTAACGTAACTTAACCACAATAACAAGGCGCGTTATTAAACCAGTACAGCTTAAGAAATCATTAGTTTCTAATAAGGGAAGGTCCATTAATTATGCAAATATAATGCAAATATGATGCAATGCAATGCAGCCGACACTGCCGACGCCGAAGAGGAGAAGGACGATGTAGACACAGGTGCCAATGTCTCCGGCGAGTACGATCCGGACTTCAAACTCATCATCGACCTATCGGACGAAATCGACATAAAACCCGGTGCAGATGGTTCAGGTTTCTTTTGTGTCCCTTAGGACCCGTTAGTTGTTGATTTCCGAACTTAGTGTTACATATGTAAGTGCTTCAGGTACAATTTTGGAACTGCTGCTTTGAAAATTGACTTGTTTTTAGTCACCGTACACAAAATAGAATTTGGAATATGCAAAACGTAAAAGTCCCACCGTGCATCGCTGGCAAAATCTACTAATCCAATGAGCTGAATTACCGAGGTGAAGCAATCGGTTAAGTTGTGTGAGTAAAACCCCTGTACGATACAAGCAATTAGTGACGTCACTACTTGCGTTTACGTTGATTTTTTGGTTTACTAATACAACCATATTTCACGATCTGCTTCACCTCTCTCTGTACCTCATTGCTACTAATCAACGTAGTCAGTCGACAAAGTGCTTCGACAGCTGTCAACAAAATCTTCCAGTCACTCACGTCGGATGACATCTGAAAAAGATCGCCGTTGCATTCACATCCACCTGCTCATTGTTCGTGCACCGCTGAGAGCGAGCAGCAGCTCCAAAGTGCAGAATTAAAATTTCATCTGTAAAGTGATCGCGGGAGTCACACTTCGATTGGATTCCGACGGCAAGCGTTACGGCACATAAAAAAAGGTAAATAAGTGAAACATTGTCGCAGGAGACGAAAGAAAAACTGACTTTAAATTCGATTCAATAGCTAAGAAGCTGCACATGGTTGTCTGCTTTCAATCTTATCCCGCTGGAGAACGGCTCCTTTCGTGACCTTCTGGTGGTACGAGCAAGCAGTCCCGGTTGGGAAGAAGTCATCGAGGAAAGAAAATCGGAAGAGCAAAGAGCTACAGACCGGAATCGTCTTTGGAGTATCCGGAGGTCCGACTGCACGCAGAGATCAATAGAGAGGGACCAAAACGTAAGTTGAATTGCTTATGAGTAACGTGGCCACCTGCTAGTTCATGGTTATTTAAGGTCCCACTTGTTTCGGGTTTTATCTTACTGACTTCACGGAATTTGGAAGCTCGATGACGTGGCGGGAAGGCGAAAAAGCGATTGTAACCATAAAGGTAACTCTAAGACCAGAAAGTCTCGAAGAAACGTACTCATTTTTTGGCTCAGCTCTGGTACTCTCCGGTCCCAAGCTAACCGATGCACCCCTCAGAACATAGGAAAATCCACGAACCCCTAATTTTATCTGGAAAACTTTCATAGCGAATCAAACTAACATAGTGTACTAGTGTAGTACTAGAATTTCGACTATAATAGCAACAATCAATACGAAACTATCGATTTTAAATTGGCTCACTACTTGACTAGCCTATTGGTCCCAAGCAAATCGATTAATGTACCCCATTCTAGTCGAAATTCTAGTACTACACAATGTTTGTTTTGATTCGCTATGAAAGTTTGACAGATAAAATGAGGGGTTAGTGGATTTTCCTATGTTTCGAGGGGTGAATCGATTAGCTTGGGACCGAAGAGAGTACCAGAGCTGAGCCAAAAAGTTGTGCACGTTATTTCGGGTTATTTCTAGTCTTAGAGTTACCTCAATGCTACTAGTCTTAGAGTTACCTCTATGATAATAGCATAGAGGTAACGCCAATTTAAAATCGATAGTTTCTGATTGTTGATAATAAGGTACGTTAATCGATATGCTTGGGACCAATAGGCTAGTCAAGTAGTGAGCCAATTTAAAACCGTTAATTTCCACCGGTTAGTAGTGTAACCGTGCCGAGGAGCTGGTGCGACACTTGTCCGCAGGGCACCATCCAGTTTCATCAGTCGAAAGATCCAAGAAGCCAATGGATAATGAGCACTCAAAATCGCTCTGGAGTGAATGGAATTCTCAACGGATTGTGCGGTGAAAGCTAAATAGCTTTGGTGAGCAGGCCAATCAGAGTAGTCGATGTTGTCCATTCGTCATCTTGTCAGTCCCAACTTTGTTTACTCAATTTTGGGTAGCTCTACTTTTGACGCATATGAGTAGATTGTACTCAAATTTGGGTTGTTTATATATAACGTGTGTATCGTTTCGACTCGTCATTTATAAAGAAGAAAATATTGCCGATATATAAGCCTAGTATACAGATCGAAGCGAAACGAAAATTGAAGCACGCGAAAAATCATGAAATTTCGCTAGCGAAAAAGGTTGTGAAAAAATGTTTGTGGAACATTTTCCAGTTTCCTTTTTTCGCAGTGTGAAACGAAATCGGTCAGTTTACACCTCCGGTGAAGTGAAAATCTGACCGATACGCTCTCCCGAAACGTCAACTTTTCGCTTAGCTGCTGCTCTTTTCGCGAGCGCTGCATGCGCGAAAAAAAATAAACGTAAGCGAAAAAGATGCGATCCACAAAATTAGATTTCGCTGGATCGTATCTGTTTACAGTTCAAAGCGAAGCGAAATATTTGCCAATTGCGTTTTTCGCGCAGGTGAAAAATGTAGTATTTTGTATGAGATTTTCGCTTCGCTTCGATCTCTATACAGGCCTTATAGGCCTTATAGAGATCGAAGCGAAGCGAAAACCTCATACAAAATACTATTTTTTTCACCTTTGGCATATTTTTCACTTCGCTTTGAACTGTAAACAGATACGATCCAGCGAAATCTAATTTTGTGGATCGCATCTTTTTCGCTTACGTTTATTTACGGACGCATATTGACTCGAACTTTGAAATAAAACATTATTTTGAGTTTTTTTCTTCTAGAACCGAAAACTAGCCAACAATTGTGCGTTTCATAAAAAAAATAGAAATTGATTGGTGCAGTTTTGTGCATTCACTGGTAGAAAGTCACGCTAAAACTGCTTGACAGAGTGGTTAATTTGATGGCTCGCAATTCGTGTTGGATCAAAAGAGTTAAGGCCCACGCACATTAGATCCGGATCGGACGCGTTGCGGTAAAGTGACAGCTAAATATATTGTCTAACTGTCAAATTTACGTCAACGCAACGCAAACGGATCTAATGTGGGTGGCCCTAAAGGAACAGTCTGCAATTTTACACGCACAGAATGACACTCCACTGCGCGATTTTTGACTGTTGAGGGGAAATCGGTTAGTTCTGAAGACGGAATAAAGAGATCCAAAAAGGCACGATGACGCCACGTCAGTACCATCAAATCAAATTCAGCCTCCGCAACAGTCAAGAAAAACGAGTCAATTTTAGTCCTCAGCCCACGCACGTTTCGGTAATAAATCCGGAGGCCATTCGAGGACCGATCCCGGGAGCTGGAAGCCGAAGGAAATTTAAGAACCGAAAGTTCAGAATCGCAATCATACTTGCCTGGAGTTGCAGGTCGGATGCCCCCGATTTTTGTTGTTGTTTTGCTTGACATCAGCTTTTCGGCTTCGCACCTCCATATGTTGCTGTGAAAAGTGAGAAAGCAAATGACAGTGATCTTGCTCACTGAGCAATGTGAGTTACTAGAGGTGCCTCAAAAGCAACTCTAAAATTGCTCATGATAAGAAGCTGTCTTGTCCCTTAGTCTTGACTAAAGAGATTGAATTGGGTAAAGAGGCGACATCTTATCCATTTGACAGGTCTTCTGCCCGATTGGAATAACTTTTCCAATGACTTTGACAGATAATCGATAGTTCCAATTTGGACATGTCTCTTTATAAAGTCAGCCTCTTTAGTCTTGTTTTGATTACTTATGATGATGACTATGAATCTGCCAAAATCTGTAAATATGATTGATGGTGCGAAAGAAGAATTCTACCGAAATACGTGAAGCAGATCATGAAAATATGGCATGTCCCAAGGCGTTCCAGGGAGCAAAAGGGCCTACAACCTTGGTTTTCAATCGCCAAGTTCGCACGGGCTATGCAGGTGAGAAGCAATAACGAGAAGCCGAAATGAAGGAACTAATGCACTTCTAGAATGTGCTTATCAAGATTATCACTGTTTTGCCAGACATTTTCGTCACACCTGATAAGCTATGTCAAGAGAGATTATGTTTATGTTGGGGGGTGTTTTTCGTGTATATTCAGATTGCGTGTAACGCCTCGGACGGATGACGTTGCAAGTGCAGTTTTTATAGCTATGACGTGTTACTTAAATGTTCTACCATAGAGGTAACCCTAAGACTAGTAGGATTCATGCAGAACATGCAGGGATGAGTGAAATAGCTTGGGACTGCTTGGGACCGTTGTTCTAGTACTGAGTGAGCCAAAAATAATAATGATTTTCTTCGGGACCCAGTGGTCTTAGAGTTACCTCTATGCTAGTACCATCTTATCCAAGTAGTCAAATTGTTTTTGGGTTCGTTTTAATGCCAACATTCGGTAAATGAGAGGTGAGTTCAGTTATTGTTAAATCAAAATCAAGTGTGTTCAGTAAGTGTACGCAACGAAATAATATGAAATAGTTCGAGTATTATAATGATTCTTTTGCGTTACACTTACACCCTTACACATTGTACAATACATCACATGCAGAGAGCGAATTGAGAAAAAATATTACTAACATGATTATTCATAAAAATATAAGAAAGGAATAAGAAAACGTTTTATCTACTATTTCAGTGCAAACATTTCAAAAGGGCGTAATTGCTTATGTAAACAATATGTAGCTATAGTCGTTGATTTCCCGTAAATAAAAACTCTTTCATTGTTTACAAAAGCAATTACGACCTATGACTTGTTGATATTTACCTTCCACCCCCACTGATTCCGCTTGTGTTGAAGCAGGGGTTCTACCCTTTCGGTACCGCATCATTAACGCTACCATCTTCAAAGCTGCATCCTTCGCCGCCAGGACAGCAGGAAACGGCAGAATCTTCCTCCTCGACGAGGGGGACAGAATCCTGCAGACGATCGCCAGCATTGACCTCCCCCCAGTGGCTAGGACCCACTGGAACGGAGAGAAGAACTGGCTCTCTTCCAGCATTCATATTGACTATCACATAAAAAATCGATTTAAAGCAGGAGACAACTCCGCGGCCCTCCGTCGCACAGTAATCGAACGCCTCCGAACCCATTACGCCAAACACACTCACCGGTACACCGATGGTTCCCGATCCAACACGGGCGTTGGCATCGGAGTATCCGGAAATGGCATACTCGCTAGCAGCAGCTTACCACAACAATGCTCCGTTTACTCGGCCGAAGCGGCCGCAATCTTCCATGCGGCCACGTCACCAGCAAACCAGCCAATCGTAATACTAACTGATTCCTTCAGTGCTATCCAAGAGCTAGCTTCAGCAGTTCCCACCCACCCGTGGATTCAAGCTACCATCGAATACGCCCCGAGCAGCACCATTTTTACATGGATCCCCAGTCATTGCGGAATACCTGGTAATGAAGCAGCAGACAAACTCGCTGGAACTGGACCGGCGGGTCCGAGATTCACGGACAAAGTCCCCCTTCCAGATCTCCGGCGATGGATCAAAACAACCGTACAGAAAGCCTGGGCCGACCAGTGGTTCAGCACTCGAGAGCCTTTCATCCGGAAGATCAAAGGAACCACGGAGGCATGGACGGACCTCCCAAACCTCCGGGATCAGAGAGTGCTCTCAAGGCTGAGGACTGGCCACTGTCGGTTTTACTATAACTTCGGCGGCGGAGGTCCCTTCCGCAAAAGCTGTGCCATCTGCCATCTCCCGGCCACCGTTGAACACGTCCTCTGCATCTGTCCTGAATTCCAGGACCTCAGGGAATGCTATGGGATCACCTCCAGCATCCGGAACCTACTCGGAGAGGATTCAGCCGCTGCAGACGCCCTGCTAGTTTTCCTCAGGGAAGCTAACCTATACCATGAGATCTAGGAAAGCCATAGCTGTTATATTCGTTTGTATACTCGTTCATTTGTTTATATGTTTAATTTCTTCTGACTGTCGGGACGGCACCGCACGGGATGAGCCTTTGGACCTCGTCACGGTGTCGTCTCGTTCAGTTTTGTGTTATTCATTTTGAACTTGTTGTCGTCTTCGTGAAGAGCCAGGAGAGCTGTCACCTTACAGCCTCAGCAGCCGGAGGGGCATCACATGGGATGAGTCTTCTGGCCCTCATGAAGGTGTTCCCCCCAGGCATTGTCAGGAGAAACTCATTTTAAGCCTACTATGTCCAACAACTCCGTAGGAGGTTCTCCTTCTGAGACCTCAACAACTGACTAGAGATGAACTAGCCTAAGGCTAAAAATCTCTTAAATAAAGAATTAAAAAAAAAAAAAAAAAAAAAAAATGTTGATATTGATTTTTTTATCGAAAAACTCGGAAACAGTAGGCTGTGAAACGTTGACATCTTCCGAAGAGTCCTTGAGCAACATGTGAAATGAGCCTATGTGCCAAATGTAAACAACATTAAACGACAAACTAACTACACCATGTGATAGAGCAAACTTCCTCTACCAGGTGCCTGCTGAATGGGTCCATAGGGTCATAGGCCCTTTCCGCATGTTGCTCTAGAGTTGTTCATATTTTTTTTTTCTTATTCTTCTTTTGGTTTTATTACATTCCCACTGGGTCTCAACTAAGGGCATTTCTACAGTTGTTAAATTGAGAGCTTTCTAAGCCTGTACCATTTTTGAATTAGTATTTTACCGACAATTTTCCAAAACATTGGACGGGTTAGATCACCAGGAACTCGATGAGAAACGTTTAAGAAGCAATTCTCAGCCCACCGAATAATTGTCAATCGACTCCACGATACGTTTGGCTTCCTTCGTCAGAGATCCTTTCCTAGGTATGAAAGTTTGTCAACGTCAGACAAATTAAGGATCGAATCGATAAAACTATATTGAGCAATTCTCGAAAGGATAGCCAATCGTCCTTACCAGAAATACAATCTCTACAGATACCAAAAAAAAATCACAATCTTTATTCAGGGACCGCATCCAACATAGTCTTAACCAACGATGGTCGCATCAAACTCCACACAAGTAACCAAACCGCCACCATCAGCCCGTAGTCCAACCTCGACCTGGACGGTAACACCGGTCAACGACAGCAACTGGCCAGCAAAATCTAGGTGGTAATCGAAGACTTGTCCGACCGAGACGGGGCAGGTTCCGGCAGCGGTCCCCATAGCGCAGGCATCCTCCAGACCATCTGGCATTGGGAATGGAATCTGTAGACCGGCCAGCCGGATGATAATGTAGGCTTCCAGTCCGTTGGTAGCAAGCGGGCTGGTGATTCCTAGGGCATGGGCAACCAGTGGTGCACCGTTCACAATTGGACAAGGCAATGTAGTGCATCCGTTAACGTCCACCGTCTGCGGCAGGGAAGGACCACCGGCACATTGGCGAACTGGGGTCACGGCCAAGATGGCCGGCACCAACACAGCAGCGATCAGCAGGAATTTGAGCATCTTTTCTTGATTTGTGTAGAGCACGCCAGTTCAAGGTTGACAGGTTGACTGAATGTGACCGTTTTTATACCGAATGCAACGCGATGCGCATTTTGGGTGGGTGATAAGATAAGTTGAATCTTGCTGAAGTCAAGGTTGACGCATTCGGTAACCAACAACAGCTGAGATTATCGGAAAGTTTGATTTGCGACCTGTGGTGGCTTTCGATTCGGGGGGGTACGGCCATAAATTACCATCGCCGGGGTGACATTTGACAACTTTGTACCAAGAAAAGCAACTGCGATGCGATTAGATAACAATTAGCACGGTGTCGTAACGGTGTTTGTTGAGTATTATCAGTAGTCTACCGAGATATGAAGAATAGACCGTAAACCGAAGATGCTTATTTGAAACAACGCCATCTGGTGGCAATTTTTGATCGATTCGACGTGCGCTGGCGCCTACTACGATTGCTTCGGTTGGCCGTATTGGCAAGCGTTACACCTGTCAATTTTTGTTATGGACGAGTCTGTAAGTGTCAATATGATCGCACACAAAAACGTAGTAAAAAGCACGGCCATGTGCTTTATGAGTAATCCAAATCGTCTATTCGTAAAATGATTCATCGCCATGCCCAATTTTACCATGATAAGTCTACAACGCAGCAAGTACGACATAGTAATAAACGACAAATTTCGAATGCAACATCGCCTCATTTATTGACCTTCAAGCATCCTCCCACCCTCTAAATCAATCTAACATCGGCGGCAAAGCAGACCGCCTTCTGTCCGCCATCGCCGTTAATCTCGAACCTCATGCGAACGGTAACGCGGGTCAGTGGAGCCTCCACTGGAGCCGTTCCCGACAGCGTAACCTCCTGACCGGCAGCCAACGGGCAACTCGCGTCGATATTAGCACAGCCATCCCTCAGGTGTTCCGGAGTATCGTACGGCAGGTTAAACTCGCCCAACGTTGCCGTCACATCCACGGTCAAAGTGTTCGTAGGCACGGGTTGAGCAAAGCGGACCGAGAAGCTGAAATCCGACAGATTTGGAACCTCACAAGGCATCACATTACAGCCCGGAACGGTGACCTGCGCCGGGTGCGGATAGTCGTCACCACCTGGGAATTATTATACATTGAAATACCGAACAACGTTCTGATTCGGAACGAAGGAACTTACAGCGGTGGACCTCGACGGCAAAAGCCGTTGCAAGGATTGCAGCTAAAATGAATATTCTGACCATGACTTTGTAGACCAATTGCACAACTGAACCGACCTGCTGTAATCAACTATCTATATAGGTTTGGGAAGTCATGGCCTGTTTTGATTATCTTTGACTGACAGACTGATAGGAGGAGGGATAAACGCTTATCTAAATAATGGACCGGACATTTATTCATCAATCAAACTCTATCCTAGGCGGCGGTGATTGTCGCAGACGATCGGAAGCAGAACAGCGGCTGGCCATCATCTCCGGTGAGCTGCAGTTCCAAATCTACCGTCACATCGGCAAACGGAGCCGAAGCTGGAGTGCTCAGGTGGTAGTTGATCGTCTCTCCTTGACTCACGGGGCAGCCACGTCCAGCGAAGAAGTTGCACGCATTTCGTTGATTTTCCGGCAGATCATACGGTACACGAAAGTTTCCGAGGAAGATGTTGAGCGCAGCGTCCACCGTTGTGCTGGCACGATTCGGGATGAAATCCAGGTCCATGTCGACCATTCCACCCATTGGAATCACGCACGGTTCCTGGTTGCAGTCCGTGACGCGAACCTCAAGCGGAAGCGGAGCATTGTTGGGGCCTGAGGATGGAAGTGGTAGGATAAGCGCTTACGGTTTCTGAGTGTATTAATTTGCTGACGTACATGGTCGTACGGCTAGGCCAAATACGGCTGCTGGCAACAGAACTGCGAAAACTACGAACTTCATCATTATCCTCGGTTAACAATTGGATTGGCACTGCCTAGGAACCGCTTCAGCCCTTGGTGTTTTGGGGCCTACAGAAACCGATACGTTATCTTATCAACGGTCATTAAAGCGGAAAGTTTGACACGTTGACTCATTAAAGTAGGCATTACACGCCGCCTAGGTCAATGCTTTGCACTGCAATGGCTACTGCTATTATGGACTGCCGAATTCCACCGTTTGCTCGATAAGCTCGATTTTCGTGTGCTCATAAGGAAGATTAGATTGGGTCGCCTACGGCAGTCGTTTCTAGTTAGGCAACATGTTCAAGCTAAGCATTGTGTTCGTCTTGATTCCTGCGGTAGTTTTCGCCGTGAATCCTGCTCCCTGTAAGAACCAAACAAGGTTGTGCTATGAATTGTGATCCATTTTGAATCCACAATTTCCTCATGCAGGTGTTTTCAACTCGGGCCCCCTTCCGGTACAAGTCCGAGTAGAAGGATGTCCCGCTTCCGTTCCCCAGCAGCCGTGTATTGTTTCGATCGGATCGCTGGTGGAAAGTGAGATCGACGTGATCCTGGAACGTCCAACCAGCACGCTGACCGCTTCACTGGACATGTTTCTCGGAAACTTCCGCATCCCGTGGAGCCTTCCGGAGAGTCAACAAAATGCCTGTCCCGATCTTATGCATGGAATGACCTGTCCGCTGCAAGCTGGCCAATTAGTAACCTACAATCTGGTGACGGAAGTGTCAGCCCCCTTCGCCGACGTTACCATCGACATGGAACTGATGCTCACCGATGACCAGGGCCAGGCCGTATTTTGCTACCGCTCCCAGTCTACCGTTGTTCAAGCTTAGGCCCGAACTTTTATCAGAACAATCATTAACCTTTCATACTGGACTCCGTTGTCCGTGGTTTGGTAGCGGCAAAGTGCAATCTCCAACAACCCCGAAGCCCCAGAGTAAAAGAACAAGTGTTATGCATTGAAAAGTTGGTCTTTGTTTTACTCTTCTTGCTATTACGATGCCACATCGGCCATCATAATTCCGTCATTGATTATTCATACGTAATCGCAAATACTTTAATGGAAAAAGTCTTACCGAGGTTGGAAGTATTTTGCTTCCATCCAAGGTGGCACTGAACTGAACACTCTCAAACGAGGGGGTGCCGTGCCAAGCCAACAACTGACAGCTCCGCTCTCTCGTGTCGTCGTCATCCATTGTCCCTCCTTCTTAAGCATGTTGAAAATTTTAAAAACCACGAAGCATTTTCCCATTTTCCCTACCTTGCACAGGATGTTTACACGCGTAATTTGCTCGTCAAATTGACGTCATCGAAAATGGCCCGAAAGGGGTTGGGAGGGGGGTAGGTGGCAAATATTTTAACGTATCAATTACACGCAAAATTTGCTCGGGTAAATCGCATAATCGGGTCGGTAAACGAGCGAGTGAGGTAAGATGGGCCATTATCGTATCGGATTACTATGCGAACGATCCTGTAGACAAGGCGGACTGGACCGCAAAGATTAGCTCGCGGCCCTTTTCAACACAGGTGCCGAACATTTTAGCGCACTGCGTGCGCGTTCCGTTGGCCTCCTCTTCTACCTTTGTACAAACGCCAATGAACTTTACGTTTCTCAGTCAGTAGGCGCTGATTCCTGGAAAACGCAGAAAATAGTGTCGCACAGCCTACTTTTGCTAGAAGGCATTTTTAATTAGGAAAATAATACACTTGTGGAAATCCTTTCCGGGCCTCGAGGGAATGTATCAAATCATAGTTTGCATATGGATTGCAATTCCTGCGAATTCCGGCTCTCCGGAATCGGGTGACGGTAAATTGCAGGGGTTTGCAAATAAAATTCAAATAGCAATGACGGCTTTCCTTCGCACGGTATCTTGATCGAATCAGGCCAAAGTGCCATGTGCGCTCGTAACCGGTAATGAATTTAATTGAAAGGTGCTTAATTTCACCTTATTCGAGTGGCGTTTCGAGTAGCGTAGCGACGGGACGTGTGTGTGAGACCTATATGTTATTAGGGAGAATGTTTTCATTCACGGGAGGTACGATGGCTTGGGTTTTAGTTTTGCGGAGTGGGATGTGAATGTCTAATTTTATCGGGTGTTTGAACGCCTATCGATATGCAACCAGAATACTCGCGTCACTTGTCAATAGGTCATATCTACATTGATCGAATCTCTTTATCGACTTTCTCTGTGGATCACCACGGCCGTGTTATGCTATTTCCGGATATTTTCGACACACAGTTCTATGTAAGAGGTAACAATCTACACGACGAATGAGAACGACTCAAATTTGAGTTTAGTTCACTCATAATCGCCAAAAGTGCAGGAACTCAGTGATGAGTAAATTTGCCTCATGTTTTCCCAGGTTTTCCAGGGAAAAATTCCCGAATTTGAGAAAAGTAAAAGTTGGATTCACTCAATCTATTGGTACTACTCCGAGACTGAATAAAATTTTCGTCAATTTCCTCATTTTCCGGCAGATTTTTTAGGTTTTCCACAGGAAACCATGAGACAAATTCTACTCATCGCTGAGTTCCTGCACTTTTGGCGATTATGAGTGAACTAAACTCAAATTTGAGCGTCTCATTCGCCGTGTAGCATCTAATATGACAAAGACAGCAGGAAACGGTTTTTGTAGCCGAGTTAATTACGCAACAGAGAGTCGATGAAGAGAATACGATGCTGCACGCTGACGTCAATTCGACAGTGAGCATGCATAAGGGCCTATACGCGATGATCGATTCTCTTCGTCGATTTTCTCTTTTGTTAATAACTCGCTAGATTTAACGTTTCTCGGTGCGTTTGCTGTTGCTTTTGATAGCCAATACAACCTGTTACTACTCTGCATTGAACAAATTCTAGAAAATTGTTTCGCCTAGCTGTAGCAATGCAAAGAGAAAATCGATGAAGAGAATCGATCATCGCGTATTCGCCCTTATGAATGCTCACTGTCGAATTCAATTTTCATACTGCCGTACTCTAACGGAACTATCCACCTACCCTCTTCTAAAAGATCATTCTCTAGCTAATAAATTATCACACTAAAGCTTCATGTTAGCATTTCCAACCATCTCTGAAAACCAATCAAGTTTTTCTACGTTGTAGCTTTTAGAATGTAGGTAGCAAATATTATGTATTTAATAGGCAAATTACCCCGAGGATATCAGTATTCGGGTCGAGCAGTTTGGAATGGAAAATTATAGAATAGATGGAGCTGAGCTTAAGTTGCGCGTTGCCTACAGCAAGGCGAAACAATATTTACAGAATTCTATAGGGTATTCCATATGGTTTGTTACAAGACTCAACGAGATATTGTACGATGTCCTGACTAAATTTTGGCATCTGTTGAGCCTCCTTGAGCCCCCTTATATCATGTGGGTTATATATTTGAAATGACAAAATAACTCGAGCCCTCTAAATCATCTTGATGATCAGATCTTGAAGCACCGACAAACCGACATGAAACTTAAACTTAACTCTTGATCGCGAATCTATAACGGCCGATTCAAATGTGCACCGATCCCATCTGTCAAAACCATAGAAATGTGTTATCTAGATAAAAATAATTTGTCCGAAATATATTAGACACGAACCAACTCATAAATTGTGTACGCGTGTTCGTGGCTAGGATAAATATTTTCCGCGAACACGGCGGCAGATGTCAGTTTTGTGCTTTGATCAGAAATTTCTTTGTAATTTGTATGATCATTCATGTCGGTTTGTCGGTGCTTGAAGTTCTACCGGGTCAACCAATGTATTGTATTATTGTTAGATTTTACAGAATTTAAAAAAAAATCTTAAAAAATGTTAGATTTTCCAAATCATCATGGAGCTCAGATCTTGAGATTCTACAGACACAACTAGATATGCCATAAGCTCCCCTGGGTCTGCCTCTGCTGCGATTTCCTGCCAGGTTTCAATCTAGTGCTTGCGTTTCAGACCTTTCATAGTGTGTGGCCAAGCCACCTTTACTTACGTTCTCTAATTTCTGTTAAGATTGGCTTCTGATGACATTGAAGATGGAGCTCAAGCATTTGAGATCCAGTTGTGAGGTCAACGTGTATATACTGTAGGCATCGATTGATGAAGACCTGCAGCTTCTAAGTGTTCTCCATTGGAGGTTCCAACATAGTTTGTCGTTACAACTACGCATGATTATTTGGGGTTCCACGTAGATTTTTGGGTGCGTGGAGTGAAGAATACTGGAACAGAACGTAGTTCGGAGTGGTTCCCCCTAAAGAGCCTGAATTTATAAAGAGACGACATCTTATCCATTTGACAGGTCTTCTGCTCGATTGGAATGACTTTTCCTATGACTTTGACAGACAATCGATTGATTGTTGTTCCGCCTCTTTATAAATTTAGGCTCTTTAGTTCCCCCATGTGTGATCGATCCGCCCGGGTTTCGAGTGAGGTGGAGAGGACGATTTCTTAGCTAAGTGCAACCGTCGCAACAATAGCCAACAGAATGGCAGGGCAATCTTCGTCTGGCCCATTCCCAGCATCGCCAGTATTCCACATTTATCTGGATTTTACAGATTTCCAGTCGTCTTACCAGATACACAGACAGATCACGTTTATATCAGATTTTTTAAATATGTTCCAGATTTTCCCAGATTTTTAAAATGTCTTGCTTAATAAATATCACTGCAATTAACGGACCCTCTAATAAAAAAAAACAAACTTACTACTTTAATTACTAAAGGCAATCAAAGGTTGGACATTATTGCAACATCATACATGGAGTTGTTACAACATGTTTGCAATGGGTTGCAGAATCAAGAAAATTGAGACATTTTCTTATCATTGTTGGCTGTCAAAAATATTAAAATTTTTAAAAATATCGATCCAGGTTGTTTTATTTGGAGTTTTTGTTAAGATTTTGGCTATATTTTTTTTTTTTGAATCTTGGATTTATAAAAATCAATTTTTCAATAAGGAGGAATTTTCCTAATTTTGGAAATTAGAGAAATCGGAAACTGTTCAGTATTGAAAACAATAAATTGAGCTTCGGAAAATTAGCAAGGCTTTTGAATCTAGACAACCACTTTGAAGTATGTTCGTGATATTTTTGAGGATAATTGATTAGATTTTTATATAGAATTTTAAAGTACTAGTGAAACTTAAGGAGAAAGCTGATATGCATCGTGAGATTAATTTCAATGGAATTCTGTCCAATGTCTCTATGGAGATCAAGTTTAATCAAGTTCTAAGAAATCTGGCAATTTCTGGGAGGCTATTTTGGTAAAGTACTTGAATACTTAGAGTATACTGAAGAGGAGAAGTCTGAGAGGAATGTGACGGTCATTCTGAAGAGCGTATCAAGGAAATTAATAATAATATTCTAAGGGAAGTTCATAGAAAAAAATTGAGACAAAATCATGCCAATTCTTGGAAACTATTTCCAGCTTGAGGGAATTATGGAATCAGAGAGTGATTTATGAAAGATTACAAGAGATAATGCTTAGCACTCTTAGAATGTTACTGAAAAAGTTTGGATATTATCAATGTTAGTTTAGGGGAATCCAGAATAGAAGTATGATGAATGATTAAAAATCTGATGAAAATGAAGTAAATTCAGACTAACAAAAAATTTCATGATCTGGGAGCCAGGAAAAATATAAATTCCAGAATTTAGAATCATTTCATGATGCTGAGACTTAAAAAAGGACGCTTTCAGACTTTCATTTTAGTTATAATTATTTATGTTATTCTTTGACATAACATTATTTGTAATGGTCATGTGGAGTTACCCGTAGTTTAGGTAAACTTTGTGTAAGTTCCACGATGTTAGGCTTTGATTCTAACTTCAGCCAGGAGATTTTTAGCTTGAAATAAAATTGCCTGCTGGTCTACCGAGTGT